GAACCCAAAGGTCTCCACAGTTCCCTACCTAGCATTTTAAAATACAATAGCTTAGCAGTCATGACTATGACCACCTGTACTTCCAGGGCTTGTTATTAAAGCTAAGTTAGTTAGGACAGGCTAAAGTGAGCAAGAAACTCATTCCTTAAACCACATCTTATCATAGCCCGGGGAAGCTTCCCACAGACAATGTCTCACTTTCAGGCAGCTGGAGTAGAAGAGCATCTTCATTAACAGCTTCCGCATCAGACAAAAAAGGAACACAGAAGATCAGTACACAAAGGGAGGGAGGCATAGTCTGAGATGCAAAGCAGGAAACTGGGACCAGGGATCCTATTCACTCACACTGATTTTCCACTAGCACAACACAACTGAATTCAGAATCTGTTCTGGCCATCTCCAAAGCTGCAGTAGATCTCAGACATCACAACTAATACATTAGTCTGAATCAAACAGATTTGGGCCATGGACAGGCTTTTCCCCCCCTCCAGCTGCACAGATTTAATTTAAGGAATTGGTATATGTCTGTCTTAGCAGCATCAGAAGAACAACTCTGATCTAACTAGAAGTGCACTGTTATTGCTTGTTTGGCTGCCAGACTTAATAATTTTATCTGTCATTTCTGCAGCTTCACGACTTGTTTTTTATAATAAATACACTTCAAGGGGAAAGAGGCGAGGAAAAAAGGGTCTGGAGAAACTAAAGTATCATGATTCCCTGGGAAAGAAAGAACAAGTAGAGAGACAGCTAAAGATGTATGAGAAGTTACCCATTTCTTTCTCTAGTGGTAGTGATGGTGTCGGAGGATCAATTTTAACCAGGAGGCCAGCTGAACACTTGGGATAAGTTGACCTCTCCCAGCGAGGGACAAAGGAGCTAAAGACAGCACAGAGTCCAGCCTTTCCGTGGAAATAGAGCAACAAGAAAAGAAGCCTCTCTCTGCATCGCACACTGCTCGAGGCAGAGGACTCCCTGTCTGAGTTGCTCAGGACAATGAAGTCCCTGTTTTACAAGGGGTCACAACAACTAAGAAGCTGAAACAAGTCAGAACCCCATTGTGCAGAGTATTAGTTCTGTTTACAATTTTCTCGCCCAGCAGTAGGAATGACTCAGAAACCTGAGCCAGTAGAAAGCCAAGGGACCAAATTACTTTACCAGTGTTTCTCCCCAATACCATTTCCTGGGCGTAGCTGACCATGAGCAATTTCGCACTAAACTTTCAGTCAAATAAGACCAAAACCCACTGCATATGACTTCCAAACTGAAGGAACCGAGTCAGAAACAGGCAAGCAGCCCCCTCAGAAGAGGGACAGACAGCATAGCCCTGCAAAGCACAGCAATCTTCGAAACGTTAGGGCAGATGACAGATGGAAGCACATGCACCCCCCTCCACACTCCCATGAAAAATCAACAGCAAGATTGCTCCCTTTAAAGTCAGTCTTGAGAGGATTAAGCCCTGAAGAGAGGATGGGTTAGAGTTCCTAAAACAGAGGGAAACATTTTTTAAAGTAAAACCTCTTGTGCCACTGAACACTTGCACCCAGAATTTTGAAGCCACATTGCTAGACAAACCTGCAAAAGAAAAATCCTTCTAGAAGGGAGCAAGAACACATCAAATAAGAAGCTTACAGTCCAGTTTACATGCACAGCCAAAACACTGCCATAAGTACGTTCTGATTAAACAGAAATAACTTATTTGTAAAACATCTTTTACAAGCTCTAGTGAATGCTGTTTTGTTTTTGATTGCAAAATCCAGTTAAAAAATCTGAATCCTAAAAAAAAAAAAAAAAAAACACAGAAAAACAAGCAGTAGAGAAATGAGAATTTCAAAGCCATCAAAAGAAAGCTTCTAAAAGCAACACCATTTCTGTTTGGAGTTACCAAAGCTCAAAAAAAAAAAAATTTCACAATACTGTTTGCAAACAACCCCTTTCAGAAAAAGGTGGTAAAACACATTAAAAGTCAAAATCAAACAGTATCTGACTAAAGCAAATGTAAAGTTTCCTTTTTTCTAATCCTCTCACTGTAAAATACATGACATACTACACAAACCAGGTTTCTTCCAATATCTTCAACATCTAATTTGGTATCTCATATTTTCTGAAGCAAGTATGTGTGGTTGGTCTCTGGTGTGCTGGAAGCACAAATGTAACAACACGCTGCACTCTGGTAATCCCCTGAAAGGGGCCATAGCCCTGAGTTAGGATTTTCACTCTTTAGGACTAAGTTTTACTCTCTGTGCCAATTTACAATAGTGCAGAACGACAAACTCATTCAGCAAGCTTCCTGTCAAACTCCAAATGGATCCGCAAAACACACTTCCTTAGAGAGACTGGAGGAAGACAATCTGGACAAGCCTGGTCAGCTGCTCGAATTCACCATCTCCTCCCCCCTACCCACAATGTGCTATTCTAGTTTACACCCAGACCCAGCACGGCGTGTCCTGAGGCTCCCCCAGCTCAATGGGGTGCACCAGTTCCGCCTGCAGAGCTCTGAAACAGTTTCCTGTGAGAGCTGTGCACTGTAATAGCACTTCTTCGACACTGAAGGGAATAAAAAGGAACAAAGTTTTTTTCATCTCCAAATGGATCCCCAAAGCAACACAAATCCATTCTCACAGACGTTTCATAACCTCTCCAGCCCAAGCAACATGAAACTGAGATACTTCTGGACCTCCATTTTACAGTGCACAAGTACACACTGATCAACTCCATCAGCTCTGGGAAGAGGAAGGAGATTTTTTTATCAATTCAGGGAGTTAAGAGCAGACACACCAATGGGCTCTGTGAGGTGTTCCTTCCCGCCCAGCAGGTCCACCAGTCACTAGGCATTTCTGCACCACACAGACTCAGAAGCATGGTGTGGAAATATCTGAGTTTACTTGCTATCAACTCCAAACCTGCAAGGCATACTAGCTCAGGCTCAATGCTAAACTACTTTTGGGCCAAAACTGGCCCTGGAAGCATGCAGTTATGTCCACATGGCATCGTGCCTGAACCAACAAGTCCTGCTGGACCAGCTTGACTCTGGACAGAGCCAGTACCGATGTCTGTATCCATGGCACAGTTAATCCACAACTCTGATAATCCACCCATAGATAATGAGGAAAGAAAAACAAACAACTCTCACTTCAGTTCAAAAGTTTGACTTATTTCAGGGGAGTTGTATCAGCACAGCATTGTTCCCTTACTTATGCACCCCAAGACAAATTGCTTTAAAAAAATAAGTGAGCAATTTTGGGGCTAACAATGATCTACAGAGGGAAAATAGCTGGTGTGCCCTTCCATGGTGAATTCTGTACACCAAAGAAAAGCTTACAGAGAGAAAGGGTCCCACTTTTTTTGTTCAACTGCTTATTCTTAGATAATCAGATCTTGTCCAGTCTGGAAGACTGCACAAAAATTGAAAAAGACATGGTGTAATTAAGACTTGATGAAATTGAGTTGCTGAGACAAGAAGTTCTATTTTAAAAATCAGATCACAACTTTAACTTTTGGCTGTGCCAATATATTTAACACCTCAGAAGAATAAAACAGACACAAATTCAAATCTTTATCAGAACTTCTTTACAGTTCACCTCTAATCCTCTTACAAAGGAAAGGAAAAATGTGTTGACATGGCAGTAGCCTACTCGGACAACTGGAAAGTCACACTATCGGCTGTTCAAGGAGCGCAACAATTGCAGTGGGCATGATACAGCTCCCACAGCCAGTTAAAGAGCACGCTGATGAGACACTAAACTGGCCCTACACAATGCTATCTGTATGCTCACCTTGAAGGGCCACTCAGCAAGTCAATACACAGACTGGGTGAATCCTGTTCTGACTAGCAGTGCATTCCTGAACACCCAGAAACTCGCACCAAATCTCCAAGAGATAACTAAGCTGAGGGATATGAGAAACGGTAAACAGAACTGTCTCCACTTAAAGAAACAATAACTGTGAGAAGAAGCTGCAGCAGAAATTCATTCTGTTTGCACCACCAGCTACTTCACCGGGGCAGAGGGTGAGGTTTCACTCCTCAAGAATGAATCCTTCATGGTGCACCTTTCACCAGGAAGCCATGGAGCTGATGGTCTCCTTGCCCCATCAGTTTTATCATTAGCCCAATGCAGAGCCTGTTTTCTGAAGGTGTGATGACCAGCTTTCTGCCAGCACTGTAATGTGAGCTTCCAGGTCCAGTAATAAAACTGCAATTTTCCTGGAGCATATCTTAACAGAATGTCTGGTTTCTATTAAAGGTAGGATGGAAGTAACGGATTGCAGCCCCTCCCCAGTGTCTGATTTAATCGGTTTCATAAGCGGAACTCAGTCACCCTAATGTCTCCTGGAGCACAAGGGATTTGGGCAGATCCACCCCCTTTCAGGCTTGGTACCAAAGGAACTCAAACTCTCTAGATCTTTCCAGTGAGACCAGTTGCCTGACATTTCCCCGCTGCGCGGTTTCAAAAGGTTTCGGCACACCTGGGAGAAGCCATGGGAGGAAAAGGATGAGCTCTGAGCCCGGCTGTGCCCCGCTCACCCCCGCGGGCTCCCCAGTGCTCGCTCTGTACCGCTGCAAAGTTACAGATCTCGCCCAAGCACAGGCTCGAGGGGTTGCTGCAGCGCCAGGGGAGGAGGCGTCTGCTGAAACCCGACCACGCTCCGCTCTGCCCCCGGGCTCCGGGACCGAAGGACGCCGTTCCCGGCCGGGGCAGAACCGGGACAAACACCGACAGCCCGGCCCGCGGGCGGGGACGGGCGGCGGCGGCCCCAGGGCAGCGCAGCCGAGGGGCCTGAGGGCGGGCGGCGGCGCGGCGAGCTGGGAGGGCCTGCGCGGTCCACGGGGAGAGAGACACGTCCCCGGGCGCACGGCAGGCCCGGCCCCGGCCCTGGACCCGGCCCCACGGCGCGGAGCCGGCGGCGGCGCTGAGGGGCGCAGCGGGGCCGGGCGGGCCGCCGGGGGCTGCCCGAGGGGCGGCGCCCCCCGCCGCGGGGAGGACGCGCGGTTCGGAACTCACCCAGGTCGTCCATGGTACCGGTGCCGTGCCTACCCGGCCGTGCCGTACCGTGCCGGTGCTGCCGCCGCCGCCCGCCTCAGCGCCTTCGCAACTTTCCCGGCCCGCCCCCCGCGCGCTCCCGCCGCCCCGCGCGCGGCCCCGCCCGCCCGGCGCCGCCCCCTGCCGGCGGCGGCGGGAGGCGCCAGCGCGGCCCCGGCCCGGCGCAACGGCCGCTCGGGCTCCGCGGGCCCCGAGCTGGGAGCGTTCCCTGCCCGGGCCCGCTGGGGATCCCTGCCCGGCAGCGGGACGGGCTCCGGCCCCGGGACACGGCCTGCCCGGCTGCGGCACCGCGACCCCGCGCACGTCCGAGGCAGCCGGTACCCGCAACCCACACCGCTGCCCTCTTCACCCGAGGAGCAGGACCCTCCGCAGGGGCGCGCCAGCCGTGCCAGGCTGCGCCGGGGTGCTGCTGCCCGGGAGGAGCCCCGCACGCCGCAGCCTTGTGCCCCACAAGCCTTTGAACAAATGGGTGCTTCTGAGCCCGAGAGGATTGACACGATCCACAGGAAATCTTGGGCAGGTGAAACCTTACCCAAAGAAAAATTTGACGGTGAAAATTTTCCACACGCTGTTGCCACCATAAAGGAAAGCCACCAACTACTTTTCCTTTGCTGTGTTTAGAAACCGTAACAGCCCTCCTGGATTTATCATGGGATAGTGCGTTTGGAACCACCGTTTCCCACTTGCCTTTCCTTTCAAACCACTATCAAACCACTCTCCAACGCAGCAAAGTCCTCAGCCTTGCCCGAACCACAGAGCAGCTCCACCCTCATCAGAGCTAGTGTTTACCATCCCTCTCCGGCCAAGTTGACATGGCAGTAAAAACAGTTGCTCAGCCCAAATGTTCAGCTTCTAATCTGATGAGAGATACACTGAAAACTATCAGTGTGGGAACAGCTAAAGATCCAGGAAACATGACTCTTGTAGCATTTTTCCTTAAGAAATTACTACCAAGTCAGAGAATGTTCTCAAAACTGGACAGCACATGTCCTGTTGTTGAGATTACGGGATTGCATTTTCATAAAACCCAAGAACATGAGGTCAGCTGCTAGCAATCTCCGATGCTTTATTTTTCACTCTCTAGGCACAAACACACCCAGTTTCCCCAGCTAGCACAATTCAACAGTCATCATGTTTCCTGTGTTAAGACATGCTATAATGAGAACTATCACTAGGGGGGTATGGAAATATCCCCTCCCTAGCCCCAGCCAATGCTTGTGAATAATCAACAGCCTCCAGGAAATTCATTCCATGTTCTACTCCAAATCCAGGACTTCTCAGAAAATGGCATCCTTACCTAGATCTAAGTACTATACAAATGTAAGCAAAGACTTTCACCGTATGCTTCACCATCAGTGCCAAGGATCTTGCCTGACACCTCCCTTGCTGGTCCCTGAGCAAAATTTAAAACATTATTTGAAGGCACTGTTACATTTTCTGAAAACCTATGTTTTGTACACAGGCTGTACAATGATGACTTCAGGATGTCTCCCCACAGGTGGAGCAACGTAAACCACTAGCATTTACTGGTAGCATAGTGGACCTAAGGTCACCCGAAACATGTCCTTTCCTGGGATCTGTATATTTCTTCTAGCAAACACGTGGCAGACATCTGTCTTGACTTAGGTTGTATTTTTACCTCTGCATAAATAAAGTGCCCACTGTGCCCTGTTCATATTGTAGCCTAGTATGCAATTTTTATCTTCAGCTTCCTACAGTGTCCTTTGGGAGTCTGGAAGTGAGTGCAAATCAAGAAAGCAGTTTCTATTCTGTCTCAGGGCTCAAATTAATATGTCATAGCAGCAATTAGGGTTGCACCCACAAGAAATAGGTTGTGTCCAAGTTGCTCAGTGTAAAAAAAAGAAAAACAGTCATTGCCTCTAAAGCTTTGCCTATGGCTTCAGCACTGCTATGAAAGGGTCACTGAGGTGCAAAGGCAGGGCTGCCTTTTAATATGGCTTTTAAAATCAACCTTATTCTCATTGCACTCCTCATAGCTGGGTGCTGTTTATAACTGAATTTTTCTTCACATGCTAACATTTCTTATTTAAAATTTCCAGTCTTTAACTCTCCCATGACAGCCTAAGGAGTAGGGCAGGTTAAAACCCAAGCTGCTAAGACAACTGCTCAGTGGTGTGGGCTCAAGCTAAATTCACCCAATGTTCACTCTCTCCTCTCCTTCCCAACAGCCTGGAACCCCTGTTTTCTCACCATCTACCTGCTCTCTGCCTCTGAAACTCTCACTGACTCCCGAACCCTGCTTGCTGCTCAAGCACTGTCCTCAAGCAGCTGCCAGCTGCCGACAGAAGCAGCTGCTGTTCCCCAGCCACGGCCACCTCCAGCAAACAGCAGTGTCACCAAGGCGTGCCCAGCGGCTGCTGGAAGGGCTGATGGGGAGTGATGCTGAGAGCAGCTGCATCCCTTGTAACTGCTGCCAGGTGGAAAGTGATGGGGAACGAAGGCATCAGAGAAATACACAGGGCTTCCTCTTACGTTGTGCCCTGTGACTAAGACACATTATGACTCAACTTATCTTTATCTTTCAAGGAAGGTGTGCCAAGAAGTTATTGCCCCCATTTACAGATTGGAAAGAGGACTAGGAGCTGGAAATAAAATCAGATAGTGAGTCACTATCAACCTAATTTTGGACTTTAGGACTTCCTGGCTCCACACAACCAAATGTTCAGAGTACTTGTTCAAGGCATCTTTCCCTCTTGTCAAAGCATCATTCACCAGTTACAGACCAGCTCCACAGAAGGGTGTCTTAACTCACTGACCTCCACACACTTGACACGCAGAGACTGGACAGATTAACTGTCCCCTTCAGGGCTGTAATCTCAGACTGGCTGCCAAACAGAGGAGCGATACAAGCTCATTTCATAATACCTCCTATGAAAAGCACCATTATTTACAGCAGACAATCTGTGTCAGAGAAGAACAGATATGAAGCTACACTGACTTGTAAGGCATGTTTAGATCTTACCTGTGCCCCTTCCAGAAAGTGACTTAAAACTGCAGAACAATGACAATGACTTCATTGCAGTGTGTGTCCTCTGTGCTGTACCACATGGGCATCATGCAGGGGGACTGTAGCTCTTTCTTCAGATGAATTCATAAAAGAAAAATTCAGGCAGAGCTTCAGGCTTAAGGCAATGGCAGTAAATCTCAACATGCGACTTCCCCATTCAAGGTCCAACTTCACACTAGCTGAAGGGATCTATTACAGCAAAACAAACAAACTTGGTTTCTAGCATAAGATGTAGGACACGACTTTGAAATGCAGAATGAAAGCACCATGCAAGTGTATTGTCACAGTTTTGGCAGAAGAGATGAGAAACAATCATGTGATAAAACCAATACTTATCAACACAGTTTATACGAATTAAGAGATTACATGGAGTTTATTACTCACTGTAAACGACCTATGCCCTTGGTATTTACCAGTGAGGCTTATTCTGCCAGAGGGCAATGGCATCTCTACGCTTCAGGTTTTGATTTCAAATTTATATTGCTGGCAATGATGTGCAAATGGGGAGGCAAATGCAATCTATGACATTTCATTGTCACTCTTTGGTCACTGTTGTGTATAATACCCCAGCATGGCTGAATGCTACAAATAAACCTGATAAAGAGGGAACATTTATGTTCACTGCTAAGTTTTCCACTCCGCCTAGTTATAGTTTAAACACCTGCCAGGCTCTGGGTCTTACCAGCAGGGTAGGAGCATCCAGATGGCACACACAAGAATACAGAGAACTTCAGAGGTAACCTGTCAGCAGCATAAACTGCATCTAATTCACACAAAGTGACAGAGGGCAGCTGCTTCCAGCTCCGGCGGAGATTCAGGGAGCTGGTGTGCAGTGGCCACTAGTTTCCTTCCACAGGGTTTACTTAAATATTAAATAAGACAACAGCTGCAAATTAGAAATGGATGGGGTTTATTTATATAATAGAATTTTACACCAAACTCATCATCTACTTTTTCCAGAGTAAAGGTTTGTGATTTCTTTGACAATAAGGAGCCTTTTTTTTTTTTCCTTTTTTAAGCAAGTGATGCCAGTGGATATACATTAACAAATCCACACAAAATGGAGGTTATGGTAGTGTGCACTGAAAGCTGTTCCCTAGGAGGTTTTGGAGCACTTCTGGACCCAGTCAAGCACGAGTCAGTCTTTCATTCCCCCTGATTTGCTCCCAAAACATCAGCCCTCTCCTCGCTCCCTGCCTAAATTACCTTCTACGAGGTCGTCCCCCCAAAGGGATCCTCCTCAGCCAGAGCTACACGAGCAAGGACACGAGCAACGCTTCTCCAGCACCCCAGCCCCTCCACATCCATTTTCACGGACCCATTCCTCCCTCAGCAGCTTTGAAAGAAAAAAGGCAAGAGCCGTGCTTTTTATGTAAACGCGCCCTCACTTTATTAAACCATGTTTTTGGCAGGAGCAGGCACTGGCGGCGTCGGGAGAAAACAAAAGCCCTTGTATCTCTTCATAATAAACCTCTACGATACGGGCCACAATCACAGCGCCAGCCCCCCGCTCCGAGGGAAATTAGCTCACTCGCTCAAGTACTCCGAAAACCTCTATTTTTCACACCAAAACTCAGTCTCCGTAGAGACTGTCAAAAATTGCCAATGCCGACTATATTTCAAGTCGTCATGGCGGGGTATTGGGAAAAGTTTTCAATTAGCAATAATCGCGCCTCGGATTAACCTCATTGGCTACGATACTGCCACTGCGCAAAGCTGCCCCCAACCCTCCGCCGCCACCGCCCCTCGCCCCGGGGCTACCGCCCAGCTCGGGGCGAGCCACGGCGCCCCCCGGAACCCCCCCCACTCTCCCCCGGCAGCGCTCCCCGCCCGTGCCGAGCCCCCCGCGCCGCCTCCGGGAGCGTGGCACCCCGTTTTTGACCCGCTCCGTTCCGCGCGGCGGGACTGCAGCGAAGCTTGCTGGGAAGGCGTATGCAAAGTAGGCGTGACGTCAGGGCGGGCAGCTCGCCGTTGGAACGAGGGGCTCGCCACCACCTCCGCGCGACGCCAGGCCACCCCACGGGCACCTAGCCCAGGGACCCCCGGGCCGGTGATCCCCAGCCTGGGGACCCCAGGAGTGGGGTAACACCGGCTCGTTCCGAGGCACCTCAGTCGCCCCCCACTCCCTTTTTTTCTCCGTTTCTCTTTTTAACCACATAAAACGCAGCCTCCGAAGAGGCTCTCAAAAATTGCCAATGCCGACTATATTTCAAGTCGTCATGGCGGGGTATTGGGAAAAGTTTTCAACTAGCAATAATCGCGCCTCGGATTAACCTCACAGGCTACGATACTGCCACTGCGCAAAGCTAACGCATGCCCGCGCCCTCCCGCCCCCCCCCGCCGCCGCCCCGCCGCTCCGGTCAGAGCGCGCCGGCGCGTCGCCGCGCGCCCCGCCAGCCCGCGCCGCCGCGCGCCCCCCGCGCAAACCCGCGCTCCCGCTAGGGGCGTGCGGGGAGGGGGGGGCCGGTTACCGGGGAAGGGAGGCCGGGCGGCGCTGCGGCGGGGCCGCGAGGGGTGCCGGGAGGGCGCTATGGTAATGAGCGGCGGGGAAGGGGCTGCCCCGTCGCCGCCGGCCCCAGCCGGGGCGGGGGAATTGGCCAAAAAGCAACGGTTTTCACCCAGGGAGGCAGCGTGTCCCGCCCCGGGGATGAAACGGGCTTTGCCGGGCTCGGGCTGCCCTCCTCACCCCGCTGGCACCGAAGCCAAATCGCCACCCAAGGATGTGAAAACAGGTGTAAACTCTTTAAAACCGTGCACTAACAGTCACTGAAAACTCCCGAAATTGGCCAAAAGGGGAGCCGTGCCCCTCAGCTGCGCGGGCACGGGGCGGCGGGGCAGGCAGTGCTGGCACCCCGCAACCACAGTGCGCTTCTTCCTCCACATTGCAACGCTACGCGCTGCTATATACAGGCTCTGGCTTGTCTGGGCTTTGACATAACTGAAGAGGCAAAAAAAAAATGGATTAAAAATTCCTGCAATGTTTTGAACTGATTAGCAAGAGCTATTTGGAGAATGCATTTGAACAGCAGTCCAAATTATTAGAAGCAGCCCATTGTGTGTCAAACATGAGCTGCCAACATGCAGCAGTCTGGACCTCCTCCTAATTATTTCTTCTTCCTAAGAGAGACGCTGAGGCGTGGGAGCAGTTGGTGAGGTTCTGCAAAGATGGGTTGCCCTGATCCACCAGCAAATTCCCGTGGAGAGGTGGTCCCTCCGGCCCAGCACCCCTGTTCCCCTTCTGCCGCTGCCAGGTTGCGCTGCGTCAGCTCGCCAAGCCGGCAGCAGCCACCTCCAACAAGACTGTAATGGGCAAGGCAACCGACAGACTGAGCCCAGCGCAGAGCTGGTGAGCCACACGGCCGGAACGAGCCCTTTGGTGGTAAGAAATTTAATCCTGAAGTGGTTTAGGGTGTCTAACAATACCCTGGGAGAGGTCCAGCCCGGTCAAAGGAACAAGTGACCTCTCATTTTTCATCCATGTCTCCTCTGAAAGCCAAACAGAGATCACTTGTCCCCTGCTGACCTTATGGGTTTTGTCTGGATGCATTAACCGCAGCACAACAGACCAGATTTTCATTATTCACCCATCCTCGTTGCTACAGGCCTCTTCCACACCCATCTCCCAAACCTTTTTTCCTGACATCCCAAATGGGCTTAACTATGAACATCAGGACTGCCAGCCAGGTCCATCTCTCTGGGACCAAGAGTAGGTACCAGAACAGGTCAAACACATCCACCCAACGTACTCTCATAGCCTCCAACAATTTCCATCCTAGGGAATTCATGAGCTAGAAGAGATGTATTTAACAGCCTTCAGTGGATTTTTCCTCCATTATTTGTTTAGTCATAAATTAAATCTAAAACCTGTTAGTATCAGTGAAAAGAAAATGCGTGCTTTTATAAGCATCTACACTGCATTTTATCAAAGCTATTAGTTGCACTTGTATCAGATCAAATCTGATTTTCTTCTTGAATGGTTCCTTGACAGCAGCTATGAAGCTCAGCGCTCTCAGCTTGGGTTTATCAGGTGTCAGGCTCTCGGATTTTTTTTCTTTTTTGAAGCATGGGAATTGTAGTCTTTGTGCTTAGGGCTTAATTTCTTCGTGAACTACATTTCCCAGAGCCCCTCTCCGGGCAGGCCAGCCCTCTTCTTCCGCGCTCGGGCACGGCAGCATTATGAAAGGTAAGTTTTCAAGCATTACTCACCATATCACTTATTTCGCTCAGTGTGTTCGGTTCGGCTGTTACGGGCCCCCCTTCGTGCCCCCACCCATCACCATTACAGCAAAAGAGACTCGTGTGATGTGGCTGTCCCTCAGCATTTCTGGCCTATAACCATTTGTGGAAACCTTCTACCTTGAAATTGTCAGATTTCTTCCTGTGGAACATCTTGGATGCATGGTAAAAACAAACTCTAGGCTCGGATCTCGACAGGTACGCTTAAAGAGTTTCACTTATTATGTATCATAGTTATTTTTCAATCTACGCACTTTAATTTTAAAAGCAGCTTTGCATTTCACAATAAATACTCTGTCCTTGTTAAGTTTCTCCCCTGTGCGGTCCTACACTCCACAGCAGCTCTCAAATGTATCTGTTATTTTTGCTGCTGGGTGTACCCCTTGCTTTCTCTCTCTTGAGGCCAACCCATATTATATCTCCTTTTCATTCCCCCTCAGAACATTTCCTTCTGAGAGATCTTTTGATAAGGGACAGGAATGGAGACTTTTCATCAGTTAAAACAATTTAAATACTGTCAAACTGGCTAAACAGCTTTTGGGAAGAGTCATGATAGAAGTTATTCTCAAAGCAAATTACAGTTTATTGGGAGATTTTGTCCCTTCTAATTAATTCATATGGAAAATTACATTTCTTCAGAGGGAATGCTCAACACGGCTCCTGCTAAACAACAAAACAACACAAAAATCACTGCAAACAGAATCCACTGCTTAGATTTAAAAAGTAATTTAGACTGTGGAGGAAGTCCAGTCTTCCCTATAATTCAACTGATGATGATGCACAGCCTTGAGAACTAGAGATGAACTGAGACAAATCAGTCATGATTTGTCACTTTGCCACTACCTTCAATTTAATATCATGATACTTAGAGCTGAACACTCAAACTTTAAATGTATTTAAATATTGCTCCATTTACTCTAAGAATTGCTACTTGAGGGGGACTGGGGACTTGAGACAAAGCAGTTTAAATTGAGCAGGAATCTAAACACCATCCAGGCACTGAAGCACAAGTCATCAAAAGTAATTAGTGCCAGCTCACCACCTGAAGGCCTCTGACTTCCTCAGAGCTGCCACAGACCTCACAGGCACCACAAGTTTCCTGTAGGCAGCATTTATGAAAGTACTCCCGTGCTTTAACCATTTGACAGCCAGCAAGCTGCACAGAGCCCTCCTTCCAGCCACTGCCTGTAACACCTGAAAGAGATCTGCTCCAGCCGGCTCAGAACTCCCCCTGTGACACAGGCCCTCACGTGTCCTCTCAGTAATTTGTGATGGTGAGGGCAGAAGTGTGAGTGGGCATGAATCTGCATCCACGTTACCAAGCAAGCTTTAAGCACCAGACTATCTGGGGCCTGTTGCAATCACTCTTTAGAGATCATCTCTTTTTATCAGTAAAGCCCTTCCTCCATCTTCCAGATCTCATACAAGTGCCCTTGCTAAGGGAGATGGTGGGAAGGAGAAATGCGAGACAGTCAATTCTCAGTACTGTTTCTTTCAAAACTTTTTGTACTTTGTATGCAAAACCATAGAGAGGCACAGAAAAAAATAGTTTTAAAATAATGAAATGGAGAAAGGTGAACTGCAGACTGCTAGAAAGACCAAACAAAATCAATGTCCGAACCAATGCATTCCTGTAGTAACAGGTCCTGCACACAATTCCAGGCTATTTGTCAGCAAAGCCATCCTGCCTGTCCCCAAGAGGGCATGCCGTTCCTCCCTGAAAGCAGAATATCCCTCCCATTCCTACCTGCTTGGCAGTTGTTTCTGCCCACCCCTACATTCGGGTGATCCCTCCTCTCAGCAAAGCCCCCTGCTCCTGCTGGAGAAGCAAAGCAGTACCCCTCCAGCTCTCCACTGACTCTGGGGAGGTGGCACCCACAAAGAAGGAGGTGCCAGAGGCATTTAGACAGTGTCCTAATTATCTGCTGCCCCATTTCAAGGCCTGTTCTGCACAAGACTACTATAAAAAAACCTAAGAGTAACTTCAGTGAAGGTCTTTGTCTTGAAAAAGGAACATTTCAAGGTTGTTTTTCTCTCCCTTCCCACAACATGTGCAAAGGATGGGATAAATAGAAAGGACTGATTTGCACCAGGCAGAATGTTAAAGAAAGCAGAGCAAGGGTCTCTTCTGAGGAGGAACCAGCCGGCCAGTGCCTCTGGGGTGGGGGACTTGGCTTTCCTGCAATTTCTTCTCTGCCCTGTTGCACGTACTTGGGAAAAACTTTGCATGCTCAGGTCTTTCTAGGCTCTTTACAAGTCCTCTTAGGCAGTCATACTTTACACCAGGATAGAAGAGCAAGAATCTTGCAAGTCAGGGGTGCTAGCTTTGTTCCTCTACCTTGAGCAGTCCTCAGTGTTGCTCTCTGTCAAAGGGACATACAAATGTTGCCCTCAGACAGTGGGCTTTAGTTAACACTTCCAAAATAATGTGTGTTTCTTTATTAAAAAGACAAAAGAGCAAAGAATACTTATCAGCATAATTTTCCAGAGAATCCCAAAAAAACTGAATTAAGGACGTGCTCTTTGCTTTCTTTCACCTGCCATGTGTTCTTTTCTTGGCTTTTAGCTGAACATGTTCTCTGCCAGGAAGTTGTCTGGAGTTTGGAGAGCCATCAGGTTCCATCATTTCAGATCCCATTCTGTATCCAGAACCTTTCCAAACTTGGCTTTCGTGCCAGCCTGTCTTCCCCCAGATCCCACGAAGGTAGAGCAGCTGCAGCACTTTGTTTCTAACTCCAAGAGGCTGTTTGTGATGACTGGAGCTGGAATCTCAACTGAATCGGGGATCCCAGATTACCGCTCTGAAGGTGTCGGGCTCTACGCCAGGACAGACAGACGGCCCATACAACATGCTGAGTTCATTCGTAGCGCCAGTGCCCGGCAGCGGTACTGGGCAAGGAACTTTGTGGGCTGGCCCCAGTTCTCCTCCCACCAGCCAAACACAGCACACCTGGTACTAAGAGACTGGGAGAAGCTGGGGAAGCTGCACTGGCTGGTGACCCAGAACGTGGATGCCCTTCACACCAAAGCCGGGAGCCAGCGCATGACAGAGTTGCACGGCTGCACACACAGGTACTCTGTTGGCAGAGGAAGGGTGGTTAATCCTCCGGTCTGTCGTTCAGGGTGAGTGACAAGCAGGTGCAGTGTTAGCTGCTGAGAAAGGAGGCAAAATGTCGATGCTATGTTCCTGGAGATTACATACTCAAATGTGGTGTTGGGCTGGGGTGGAGAAAAAGATCACAGAACGGTGCTGCTCACAGCACAGTATTTAAGAAACATGAACACCACTCTATTTTTTTTGAGCATTATTTGCATCGTTTCCCTTGGAGCCTGCATCAGTCAGAATTTCCCCTTTCCTTGCTTCAGCAAATGTCCTCTCAGTGAAGAGGACAAGGGGATCCTGAGGGATGCAAGTATTATCCAGGGCTAGCGGAGTGGATAGTGCCAGCGATGCACAGGATGAGAGGACTGGAGAAGGGCCACCACAGCCTGACTGATGACCTAAAGTTTCCAGATGAAAAAGCACAGCCTGAACTGGGGGGGGGGGGGGGGGGGGGGGTTTCAAAGCATTTCCTCCAGAGCATTCCTACAAAGCAACAATCACGAGGTAGAAAGACAGCTCCTTGACATGTACTATTTGGTAAATAAATGTGGATAGTGGTGACAGACCTTCCAGGCCTTCTAAGTAACAAGTTACAGACTTCAGCTGACATGAAACCCTCCATTAAGACTTTGCTCTGAATTTCAGGGTTTTCTGCCTGGCCTGTGGAGACCAAATCTTGCGCTCTGAGCTTCAGGAGCACTTTGAAGCTCTGAATCCTACCTGGAAAGCTGAAGCATTTGGTGTGGCTCCAGATGGGGATGTCTTCCTGACTAATGAGCAAGTGCGTAATTTCCAAGTCCCAGCCTGCCATAAATGTGGTGGAATCCTGAAGCCTGACGTGACATTCTTTGGAGACACGGTGAGACGGGAAAAAGTGAATTTTGTGCACCAGCGCCTGGCAGAATCAGACGCCATGCTGGTGGCAGGATCCTCTATGCAGGTAAGTGTGTCTTCCTCTCACACTGCATTCCTGTTTCTGTGCTACTTTGCCTGCAACAATCCCTGGTCCACAATTTAGGAGTACTAATTGCCTGTGCATCAGAACAGCCCCTCTAGAGCTTCCCCGTATTTTATTTTTACTGTGGTTGGAATCTGGCTTCACAGTTGGCCTGTTTGGGCTTCCTTGTCACTCTGTTGCCAGTCTACTTCATGCTGCTACAAATAACTCCATTCAGACCTCTCTGCTACCTCCTCCATCAGTACCTTGTAGGTTCACAATTGCCCATAAAGCCAAGATACCAGATACAATTTAGTCCTGCAGAAATTACCATCCTACATTTTTTTTACCTTGAATTTTTTAGCCCGTGGCAGCTTTCTAGGCCTCACGTCACACTCTGTGAAATACCAGATTTTAGTGCCTCTAATTCCCAATTAAATTCTCAATAAGAGAGCAGAAATATCTGTGCTTGCTGCTTAGGATTTTCCTTTGTATCACAATGTGTCTTCTCCATTAGCCTCTTATCTATAAAGAAGTGTAGAAACCCCTGTTGTTTAACCCATGGAAGCTTTTGGAATAGAGTTTGTATAAGAGAAATTTTGCCAGGAACAAGTTCAATTACATTGAAAAAACCCCTACTCTAACACCTCCCAGAATGAGATAAAACCAAGGCTGCCTGATTGTGATTCTCTTGGCTTCAGGATACTGGAGACAAATTCCTTGAGCTTGCACTTATTAAGCTTATAATCCTTTGTATATGAATGATTGAAATGCCTTAGGTTCATTCTTGTACTACCTAAGCTGGGCCATGTGAGAACCATCAAAGTAGAAGCATTTAATTACCTATGATAACTAATAAAAACTGCTGCAGAGATTTACTAAAAGACAAGGGCATTTTCCTTCAATGTACTATGAAGTTTCAGTTTCTATGAAACTGCAAAATCTTTCACTGACAGAGGTTAAAAGGTGTTCTTTTCTGTGCACTCCTGAATAAAGAAATTTCCTACCTGAATTCAGTACAGTTGCCTAACACAGCATGTACATACATCCCCTTTTCCCACTGCCAACAGCAACTATTTTACTTTCCTAACTCCTTTCTGTAGCTCTTCTTTTGCCTAAGCTGCCCGTAACTTTGTCTTCTGGTATTCCTGCAGGTATACTCTGGTTACAGGTTTGCTCTCGCTGCCCGAGAGAAGCAGCTGCCAATTGCTATCCTTAACATTGGGCCCACAAGGGTAGATCACTTTGCATCCTTAAAACTGAATTCCCGCTGTGGAGAGCTGCTGCCTTTGATTGTTGCACATGACCCAACAAGCTGAGTTTCAGGAGCTAACAGGAGTAAAATTATTTCTACAAGGTGAGTACCTTCCCTGGTCAGTCACCTTACAGGGTAAGAAGATGGGTTCCCAGCAAATGTTGAGATACGCTGACTAAAAATATGTTCCCACAATGTGCACCAAAATGTGGCTGTAACTTTTCATCTGTAACTAGTATGCTCTGATGGGCCACGATACTGTTTCCCATGATCATAAACAAAAAGCATACTAAGTGCTAATGCACCCAGAAAATTGGGCAAGAGTAGACAGAAAACTTTGCAGTGTTGAGTTCCAATCCATTTGTCACAATCCAAAAACTACAGGGGATCATCTGCAGGTTCAGAGAACCTGATCAACACTGTTGCCTTTGCAACTGACAATTCAAAAGCTGTGCCTGGGTTAATTGATCCAGATAATCCTAATCAAAACACTGCTGTTTAAAATAATCAATTCCATCTATAAAGCAGCTTCTTCCCTCTGCTCCTGCAGCACTTGTCATCTCAAAAACTGAAAACCTCAATCTAAGAGGCAGCCGTTAGATCCAGTGCTTGGCCATTGATGACACCAGGAGAGGGCAGCAAGCCTCGCACATGTCAAGCTGGCCAGTTTTCTCCATTGAAACCATCTCCACTTACCGGGAAACAGGATGATGATGAAAAAAGTACTTTTCTGCCTTACCTTGCCATTGTGAACACTGCCTTTTCTTCTCGTTCACTGGGACAAGATAATCAGACTAGTATATCTGAGAACAAAATACCTTTCTTATAACTGTCCCCAGAGAAGAATGAGGGACAGGGATTTTGGCCGAGTAACTCGAGGCTGTAGCACAGGAAGGCAATGTGGAAAACCACAGTATTTGCTGGCATATCCAATGCCACTAGTGGGCAACTGTGGAGTGTGCAAAGAGGAAAAGGAGGCAAGACGAACTGCAGTTGTCATTTTTTAAGGAAAAAAAAAAAGGTTCAAAATAGAAGCTGACAAGAATACTGCTCTTGTAAGAGATTATTTGAAAGCACAGACTATAAGGCTGACGTCTTCCAGCAAGGAAGGGAAGTCAGCATTTCTCTCAACTGTCAGTTGACAAGCTAAACTGCTTACTATCTGAACCCTTTAAAAATTATATATTGTTGAGATGCCAGAGGAGTTAGTTTAAGCTAATGTGACCGGCACTGCTTTCAGTGTGGCTGCTACATTTTCCAGAATACATTTTTTGAAGATGTTATTTAATTAATGAATAGCTAAGTCATGAATTAAAATTGTTTACAAGATTGATACTATTTGCATTGTAATTTCCTCTCCTTCCTATGATTTATTTTAAGTACAGTCTCAATAACCAGTTTAGATTCATTTTCTCCTTTGCAAAAATGCAGGATGTAATTACTAACAGCTGATGAATTAAGAGAGAAATACAATTAAATCTGTACAATAGGTCTCCCTCAGGAGGTAATCTCAAGCTATTAATAGATGTAATTTTCCACACTCCTAACAGGAGATCCATCACTACTGAGTAACCATTTTTTGTTGATCCTTAGGGTGGTAACATAAGCCATATTAAACCATTTATGGAGTAAAAGACAGAATCTTACCCAGACTAGAACACTAAATTTTTTGACCCGACCTTCTGCATCAATCTACCGCTCCCCTTCTCACTATTATTTGTGAGAATTAATTGTTGGGGTCTTCCAAATGCCTCAGTCTTACTCTCCACATAACACGTCCTGTATTAATATTTTGACAAGAACTGTAACAAGCAGTTGGAAGCAAGGATGCCAGAGTCATCTGCTAAAAGGTCAAGTAGCAAAGCAAGGACAACTGACCATGTGATGCAAAGTTCTTATTTGCTTTGTTGCTGTTTCAAATCCATGCCAGGCAGGAGCAAGTAAACCACAGAATCTAAGGGATACTTAGGCACACAATTTCTGCAGAAGGTAGACGGAATTAAGATATTTAATGTGTTTCAAGATTTGGCTGTTACGGGTCAGAGGTGAGATGGCTTCACTTAGAAGCCAAGTGAGATAAATTCAGGATCCCTACTGGCATTCTGTTCTCGTTTAATGGAGATTCCAATTTCCAGCAAGTTAGGGATCCGCTGTTTGGTAGTGAAGACACACATGTCACTCCATCTTTAGCATAGTACAGCTGTCCTGCTAACCAGAGCTTTTGCAGAAATCATTGCTAAGTCATGGCAGAGTCTCCACACACAGCCAGGGAGCTTGCACAGAGTGTTAATTCACATAGGTTTTTCCACGTAAGAAGAGACATTTATGCCTCTTTAGCAGAGGAACCAGGGCTGGGTTTCTCACCGTCCATGTCATCTTCCGCACCATTGTGAAACTTGCATGACATAAGTGTGTTAAAAACAGAGGCTGCAGGTTTAGTGCCAGTAGAGCCAGCATGTTGAGAAGGTGTGGGAGCATTGTCAGGAAGTCTAAAACAATAAAATATTTCCAGTAAGGGCTTGGCATTAGCAGTGTGACAGGTAACTAACCTCGCACATCTACCCCTGCCTCTTCCTCAGTTCAGCAGCAGAGCCTGTGGGAGAGGAGTCAGGGTGTCTCTTCAGTATCACTAATAATGAGTCATGTTATCCTAACCCTCCACCACTGATTACACTACATACTTTTAAGTCACTAGGACAATGATTTACAGTAAATGAACACTACAGTGAATTTCCTGTGCATGGTTTATTACTATATGTTAATGAGCGTATATACAAGGAATATATGATGCTGAGATGAAGGAGTTGTTTTTTCCTGATAAGCTGATCCAGAACTACTAAAATTCACTTCTTTTAGAGCAGGATCAAAGCACTTCACCTCTTAACATGTTCCCCAAGACATCACTGAGAAGGTTGCTCAACTGAGAAATGCCAGAGGAAGCCTGAAGTTCCTACACCAAAAGCCAGATCTGCATCACTAATGCTGATTGACACATTCCCCTGTCACTCCTTGGGGACTATTTGTGTGGGAAGATGCAACGCAGAGAGATAACAGCTATCAGATGATAACTATGTCATTGCAGGTAGCTAGCAAAGACCTGTCCTGAGAAGTTTTTGTTTCTCAGCTTACTGATGTAGTTACCAGCCTGAAGGGAGTTATAGAAACCTCCAGGGTTGAGCACTGTAGGATGTGAATTAGCCATGCTGTGGGAAAACAACAAACTCAGTAAAAGAACTGATCTAGTGTTCAGCTTTATTCTCTCAGTCTATGCTGAATTTGCAAGGGAAGAAAAGGGGGAGAAATATTGTTTCTAAAAGACTAAACAAAAGGAGATAGTCTTTGTGTTATTGGCTGAAACTAATAGGAAAAGAATGCTACAGAGCCTGAGCAGTGTTCTCTTCCCCGATTACCAGGAAGGAAACACAGATACTTTCTATCTACCTTGTCTGCTTTAAGCCAGCCTTATCCTCCACATGATTCAATCCTCTCCTGCCTTTTCTGGCTCACTGTTGTTAGATCAGTCCACCAGTATTTTAGATCAGGGCTTGAACTTGTAGCTCTGCCCTACTATGGGTGGCAAGAGCACAAATCAGATGAGCACAAGGACAGGTTTTTACCATGAAATTAGCTGAATCAATGGCTTATCCTCTTCCCTTTTCTTACAGCTGTTCCTACTAGGACAAGCTCCTGATCTTTGGATAGAGGAGCTGGGAGTACCTTACAAAAGATTTTTCTGATGCTCCTCTGAAGTGGGGTTGGAGTTACCCAAAGCAAATAGAAGCTACTTCCTATTTGGCAAAGCTTGTCTTTGTTTCTGGGCAAACTCTCCAAGCACACTTTGTAATCAAGTCCTGCAGCCTGAGAAAGGTATTTCATATACTGTGCTCCACTGAGGGCAGCACAGACTGCAGATGGCCCGGAGGACTTGTGCCTGGTGGGTATGGAGTAAGTGCAGCCTCCCACATCTTACAGTCAGATTGCTCCCACTGACAAACCTACTTACTCATGACTTCTGAAAAAGAACAGAAGACCCTGGACATGGGAACTTGGGAAGTTCAGGAACCTTGGAGTGAAAATGACTGAATCTACCTTCCAGAATGCGATGCTTCTCCCATGACTGCCTTTGATGTCAGCCTTTCCCAGTCTTTGCAGCTATGAGGAGGGAAAAAAAAAAACAAAACTATTTCAAACCAGTGCCAACTTACTGTTTTCCTCAATTAATTCATTCAAAACCTGGGGCTTGGGCAGGACAGATGGAGACTTCCTCTCACATAACCTGTCCTAGGGCAGCCCCAGGTAAACAGCAACTGAAATCAACAGTGCTAGGAGGATCTTTAGAGACGATGGGAAAGGAATGAGGAGGGTCTCAGACAAATATCTGAAGTCAAGAGTTTCTTATCCCTACATCCAGCCACTCTCTACTGTGTCTCAGTGCAGGCATTTTGCGATCTGAATTAACTTGGCCTTAGCAATTGTGGGGTTAGCTTATAGAAAAGATAATAGTGGTGAGAAAGTAAAGGAGGGAGGATTTTGCTGCTCCAGTCCTACTGGTCTGGCCATTTTCATCACTGATAGATACTGTGAAAATATCTTTCAGATGCCAGATTCCTCCTGGCTGATGCTTGCTTTCTGTAGGGACAGGAAATTCTGGTACATGGGCTGTTAAACAGCTTTGATTTGTATGGTTGGAGCCTTAAAAGAGAGAGATGGATGATGTGTTTGGAATAATACCACAAAGGAGCCCATTAATACTTTTCCTCCTATAGTATCAGTTCTGTGAGCTTTTCTAACTGCAGGGGTCCCCAACAAGGGATGCACAGCTGAGTGCGCTGTGACCTATGCACCCAAGTCCTGATAGATACAAGAAATCATGCAAGGTACACAGATGGACAATAAGAAATTCATACCCACTCACTCTGACAGAACAATTAGGCAAGTAGATAACAATTACTAAGGCTAAAAATAAGAGGGAGGGGAAAAAAAGGAAAAAGCATTTTATGTTAGAGGGCCTCACAATATAGAGCTGTGACTTTTACACACTACAGGCAAGCAGTTTTGAGCAAATGACCTAAGTGATGCTTGTCCTTGCCAAGACCCAGACAACATATGCAGCTTCAGCACATGCAAATCAGAAATAGTGCCTTTTTGCTAATAAAAGAGAATTTCTGGGACAATCTGCTATTCCTTTATCAGAAGACTCTTGCAAAAAAAATAAACATATAGAAAAATTAAGACACATGCTGCATGCAGATTTCCAGTGTGATCCCACATCTTCACACTGGTAAGGGCCAAGGAGAAGACAATCCAACTGGACTCTGTATTTCTAAAGCCTGACTATCTGCAACAAGTCAATCTGTGCCCTGGAGTTCATAGTCTGACACAAACTGCTGCTGGTGGGAGGGCTGCAGTGCTTGGCTTCTCACTCAAGCAGGTGGCATATGACAGAAATCAAATTACACCCTCCCCTGTTTAGCACTTGTCATGACAGAACTTAATTGCGTTGAACAGTCAACTCCTGTGTCTCTGCATAGAACTGACCATGGCTGCAGTAATGCTCCTCATCTCTCTGTGCACCTACTACAATAAAGAAGCTGTGCCTACAGGTAAGGAAAGCTAGAGGATCCTCGGGAAATTAAGGCTATCACACAAGTGGGATTAAGGCTAGCTTCTCACTAAGATGAGTCCCTTTGTTGCTTGGGGAAAACAGCATTGGAGCTGAGACAAGAAGCAAATGCTTTTTGATGAGTTTTCATGGCTTAGCATGAAGGGGAATAATAACCTTCATTTATTGCATTGCACGCAGCCAAATGGGTTGAAAGACAATTCCTAAAGCTCTGCCAGATTTATGGTGACTGGCTCTTTCAATCAGAGGGAAATCTGGAGCTGTGAAGAGCTGATCAAAGAGGAAAGCTTGTTTTAAAGGGGGTGATAAAACATGGAGCTCATGGCTCATCAAAACCACACCCAAAAATCCAGGAAATAAGTTTTAGTGATGCCCTGCAAAATGGAAGATAAACCAGATGTCTTGCAAAGCAAGTGTGATTCCCCTATAGAAACCTGCAGCTGCAGCAAGTGGTTTCTGCTCAAGTGGTGGTAAAAGAGAGGGACATACAATACTGTATCCAGCAGCAAAACCATTGATCTGGGGTAATACCTTCAAAAAAGACCACAGAACACCATCCACCTTTCTGGCACTTTCCCTGAGCTCCTTCTGCAATCCACACTGGCAGTTCCCAGGGCAAGAAGCATTTGGGAGCAACAACCAAAGCAGAAGGGGCATTTCAGAAAAGTGTGGATTGAACCACTGTTCCCACCAGTACCCTCCAGTGACCAGAACACAATCACACCACAGGGCCTTTCCCTCTCCAGCTTGTCCAATTACCCTTAACCCTCTGCTGAAGTATTCTACTAAATACCCTTAGCCTGTTTACCAATTCACAATACCACTACTTCGCAGTTTCAAAAACAAGACAGTGCTTGCATGCAGCATTTAGTAGATGAATCATCTCAACCACTTTATAGGGAAGAAGGTATAGCTACCCATAATGGTCAGAAAAGGCCTTGCCCTCCTTTTATGGCACATTCTATTGGGATGCAGAAGAACTGGAGTCAGCAGTAGTTGCCCTACTAGTCGCTGCAGCAACACGACTGCCTGGTGTATCGGGGAACAGAGCAGAAGTTTCTCTTGGCAGCCTTTTACCCACCTCCCCCATGCAGATATGGGGTGAAGGACGAATGTGCTATTGCAGGCTAAAGCACAGGGAACAAATAGCCTACGAGTTCACCTCATCCTCACTGCCAAGAGACAACAGCAGTTCAAGGAGGTAAGGATGCACAACAGAGCAATTAAATCAACTGCACATTTAGCTTCTTTCTAAAGAGAAGTATGCAGTTCAGCTCACCAGGGCACAGACTGCTGAGCATCTGATCATTTCCTCAGCAAGCCCTCACGTCTAGGAAGTCAGGTTCAGGACCTGTCCTTGTCCATACCATTGCAAAACATCACCTCTGCTCCCTCTCTTGTAAGTCTCTCCCCCTATGTTCAGTTCTCTTAAAAACTCTTCTCCTGCCTATTAAGCTAGGATAACCTGCATGCTCTCCTCTGTACTACAAGTAACTGCTGTACAAACAGCCACAGCAGAAGCACCGTATTAGTATACAGAGGTATTGAACATGCTCTTTGCCCTCCAGGAGGCAAACCAGCGTCTGGCTCTGGGAGCAAGTTCTGCAGGGCATGTTTTAGTAGATGTGAACAGTCTAATACAGTCCCGAAAGTCACTGAAAATGCCAGAGAGACAAGCTGGGTAAAGTTTTTGTGTTCCAGTCCTTAACGAACAGTCACTGGTATCTCAAAATTTCTGTGGAAAAAAAAGTTTTCTGAGCCTTGTTCAGATCTCCATAAAGCCTATCTCTGTCCTTCCAAGGACCACCCTCCACAATAATATAGGGTAAGAGAGGGTGACTTACGACATATATGACTCCCCATTCTTACACCAACAGCAAGAACCACAGCATCCCACCAGCAGGCCCAACGCATGTCTGAGTTTGTGGAATGCTCTCTTTAATAGCTGGTTATTTCCCTTGACACCAGCAGAGCAGAGAGACTGGCTGTGCAGGATTTCTGCACATCGCAGACTTCTCTGTGTCTCGCAGGGTTGGCTATTCCCAAACTACAGCTTGGTGGACTACAGGAGGTTTTTGGTGTTGTGGACACAGAGTAAGAAGCACGGTTCCTCACATTGGGGCAGAGGGGTGGTGTCCAAGGAGCTGCAGGCCAATGACAAACACCGCAGGAGCTGGGCCAGCCGGGGGAGCGGGGAGAGACCTTCAACAGTCCGTAGAGAGGAGAGAGAATCAGAGAAACACAGCTCTGCAACAGCTGGCACACGAACCACACAGGATCTGATTTATTGCTCTGTAAGGGCCTTGCCCCCAGTGACACCAAACTGCAGGAACAGTCAGTGCTGAATAGCAGCAACTGTCTAACTTCTGTACAGACCTATATATACCCACTATATGGCCTGGTAACCAAAAATCAGGCATTCAGCTTGGAGCCAGAGCAGCAAATATCAAATAGGGACCTCAGTTCCTCTCCTCACTTAAGAGAGTTTTGATACTGACTTTAACAGCAGTCAATTCTCACTCTGAAAAGAAAGTCAAAATAATATTTTCAATTAAATGGGAATAGTTTGCAATACCCTTCACTGGATGTGTTGTTTTTTGTATCTTGTTTGTGGAACACCCTGAAAGTAAAAGGCACTTTCGAAATGCTGGATATTAATTACTCAGAAATGTTCCCCTGTCTATTCTAACAGACATTCCTACGCCAAAAGATGCATATTCTTTATGCCTCTTGTTTTCTGGGACAGTGAGCCCCAGAGGCAACAGGATAGCCAACAGGTGCACAGCAGATTCAAATCAAAGAGGAAAACTTTGGTAGTGTTGCCCAGGGGACAGGGCACTAGGCTTGGAAGGATGAGACCAGAGTGAATTTTCAATCTTTTGATCAATCCAGAAGTCACACTGTGACATTCAGAAAGCCACTTCACCTCTCTGCATCTGTTTTCCATAATGTAATAGACAGAATACTGTGGCCTGTGCCTTTTTGTAAGGTATTCTCAGGCCCACTGAGAAAAATCATGAAAGAGATGGTAGATAAACAGTATCACTGTTCTCCCTGAGATCTTTCCTGAATGATCAGGAAGAAAACTGCTTTAGGAAGGTGAAAGGCAGAGTCAAGCCAGCTGGGATTTAAAACCACTGTTCCAGATATAGACAATATCTGCAATTCTGTGTGCAATCCCCTGTCCTCACCCTTCCCACCAAGGAAAGATACCCAGTTACCACATTCTGCACTTTCTCCCTTCTGCATCACCAAGTAGACAGTGGCAGAGAAGAAGAAAAGCTGAGCCTGAGAGGAAGAGCAACAGTCCAAGAAGTGTCTAGTATTGGTCTCCAGGTCCAAAAGGAAACTGAAAAATGGTCATTACCATGAGCATAGTTGTTTGCTCTCTGCATGTCTCATCTCAGCTGGAGTCTCATCTCTTTCATCTCTGCAGTGCCCATATAATATGGCATTAGAATAATTCAGCTTATCCTGCAGAGCCTGAAAAATCTTGGCCTAGAAAACAACAATAGAGAAAAGAAAGATAAGATGCTGAGACTTCAATTCTGCAACATAAGCCCACAGAGCCACCATCCCTCCAGCATCTCATACACCAGCTGCAATGGCTGCAGTGTGGTATAGAGCTTCAGAGCTCCCACTCTCACTGAGAACAGGATACCTTATATTTCAGGTACTCTGTTTCTGGTTTTGGAACAGAAATACAGACCAGCATGTCTGAAGATCTTCAAATACTCTTTGTACTCCCCATAAGCTGGCAGTAAGTCAGTTCAAGCAATCACTGGGCTGCTCTTTCCACAGCGTTCCTCCAAGTCCTGAAGAGCAACTTTGCACAACCCCTTCAGCCTCCCCACCAGTGCTGTTTATTAGGCCCTACCACCACCTTGTGTGGGAAGATCCCCTCCATATAGGCTCGCTCAGGGGGCTGTTTAAATTCACTGTTAGGTCTTTTGTACCTCCCAAGCAGCATATAAATGAGCAGCATAATCAGGGGACCAAACATAAGTGCAGGCTTATAAAAATCTGTATGGAGCAAGACAGATAGAGAATGACTTGGTGCCTTCATCTATCCACTGAGTTTATCTAGGGAATGTTAGCATGCCCCAAATGCTGGATGCCAGAAGTAGATGTAGTACTCGTCTCAAACCTAGAGAGTTCCTACTATGGGGAAAATTTACACTAACAGTTTCTGAAATGCTTTGAACTGCACCCTAGCTCTTTTCCCTGCTTTTGAAGATATAGTTCAAAAGTACAGCGTTTCTTCTAAACAATGATGGTATTTTACCTTTTTATGATGGGATTTATCATTTATCACTACAAAAGGATTTCAGTAACATTTACATTTAGTTAGGACCTTTACTGCTCTACAAACAGTAATTTCATAATGAAAACTACTGTGTGAAGACAGGAGACCTCATCTTGCACTTCCAGCCCTAGGAATGATTCATCTTATCCATACGATGGGAGTGCATGCAGGATCTTCAGGATTTCTGTGGAGGACCCCAAGAGCTCAATGTTTCCAGAAAATTCATGTACGCAAACATCCAAGGAAAAATAAGTAACAAACTAGTACAAAATTAGGACTCAGCCTGCCTTAAGATGGGGTATCTGGCTGAGACACATACACTCTGTGTTTTATTTTTATTTTTTTTTTTTTTAAAAAGAACAAAATGCAATTCAGCATCCTATCTCATTATCGTCCTGATACCCTCACAGATCCAGTGACCTTCACTATGAATGCATTGCAAGTACCTTCAAATAAGATACCAAGCCACCTTCTTCCTTCTCCATCTGTTTCTGTTTCCTCAGAGCTCTCTTGCAGATCCTTGGATTCTGCTCCGCGCTCCAGTACAGTTCGTGCAGGCATTGCTGAGTGTACGTCAATTGCTCCTCAAAGTCCTCTAAGGAAATCACCTTGCAAAATGATATACAGAGGTGATACTCGTGAAACTCAACCCTGTTCTCCATTGTGTACCTGATCAAAGACTACAGGGCAGGCTGTATGTTCTCCTCTGGCTGGCGGAGGCGAGAGCTATTTTCTGGTGATGAACCGGGGCATTCCTCCTGCCCTGGCAGCAAACAGGGGCATAAGCAGCCGCTGCCACAGGAGCTCGCCAACACCCTCCCGAAAGCTCCTGCAGCGCGATAGCAAGTCTGGGTGGAAGCTTTGACTCGCCAGGGCCGTAAAACTGAGGCAGATACTGTCCCTCAGAGGGGCTCCCCGCCCTCTCCTGACTTCCAGGCCGACATCACCTCTTTCTCTGCAGTCCCTGACCGGGAACAGCGCCAGGCAGGGGAAGGCCCCCCTCGCCGTGAGCACACACAGGGTCTCAGGACATTCAGCAGCTGCACAAACGGCTCAAGCCCCTCACGCACCCGCAAGCGGGGCCGCTGCGCTGCAGCCAACGGGCGGGGCCGCCCTGAGGAGCCCCCGCGGGGAGCGGGACGCAGCCGCCTCGCGCCCGCCGCCGGTACCTGAGGGGAGGGGCGTGGCTGCCCCGCGGCGCGCGCCTGCCCGCGGCCCCGCCCCTTCCGCGGGGCCAATCCAAGAGCGCGGAACGACGGACCGTCGGCGGAGGGGGTGGGGCCCTCCCTTACCGCCCCCCCGCCCGCCGTTCCCCTCAGCGCGGCGCGGGAAGGCAGCGGTTTGTGCCAGGCGTTTATTGGTGACCGGCCGCCGCCGGCCTGCTGCGGCTCTGGGGAGGAGGAGGAGGAAGAGGGGTGGGGGGGGCTATCTGCAGTGTTTCTTGGTGTCCAGCTTGCTGTGCTCGGGGTTGTAGGGCGCCCTGGCGAAGCACATGGCAGCGGCGCGGTCGCAGTTGCAGACGAACATCGCGCATTCGTTGTTCTTGCCTGGGGGAGAGAACAGGAGCGGTCAGAGCCCGCAGCCCCTTCGCCGGGGGTGGCTGCAGCTCGGGCCGGGGTGCAGCCGTTTCGCTGCTGCCGTCGTTTTGAGGCTGTACATTCTTCACCCCGCTAACCCTCTGACCCCAAAGTTGGGTGCTCTGGCCCAGCAGTGTCCTTGCTTCTTCCTTCCTCTGCATTTCTATTTGCCATCCTACCTGCTATTTATCTCTGCTCCAGAGCCCCCTAAAAGCTCCACTATTGCATTAGAGATGTCAGGCAGAAGCTGTGTAATGTGCCTGTTCAAATGCTGATTCCTTAAATACTGCCATTACAGGGACTCAGTCCCTTGAAGAGGGGACAGGCTTCCTAACATACTGCAGTACCACACATCTTCATAAGCTTTAAATTGTGTGCTGTATGGATAATATTCACTGTGATGCCCGTGTGAGGTGCCTGTTTCTAACCAGCCCCCCTGCCAGGGGCTTGCACTGCGCCTTCCTGCAACCGAAGCACGGAGTGGAGTGCAGCCCCATGCTCCGGATGAGAGTGCAGTAACGTCTGAAGTGGAGTGATGTGGAAGTGGACGTACTGTTACATGTAATCTGCCCGCCGGAGCAGCTGAAGCTGTACAACTTTGTGTAGGGGTTGTCCAAGAGGAATCTGCATGATTTTAGTTTATTTGCCTGTGTGTAGCAGTCGTCATGTACTTGACAGCACCTGGGAAATAAGGAAGAAAAGATCAGAAAATAGCATAAATGCAAACTCAGCTGGCCCGTAAGACATGTAAATATGCTAATATTGCTTTGACAAGGCACTGAACAAAAAAAAAAAGATACCCAGTGATAAGAAGGCAGACACGAAGGACCTCAAAGGGGCACAGTTCTGCCTGCTGATGGTCCAAGAGGTGTCTGGCACATGTCTACTTACTGGAGCATCTTCACAGTCGTCTACTGGGCACAGGGAAAGCAAAAGCCAGCACTTACCCCTTGCGCCCCGTCAGTGTCCGCCAGCTGAGGAGCTAACAGCTGACACAATTCACTGAGTCTTGGCTATCAGACTTGTGTGAGCTCTAAACTGCCCAAAGCACTTCTTAGCATTTTGTAGCTCAGCCCCACACGTGTTGGTGGTCCTGCACTGGGCAGTGTGCACAGAGCTGTGTCCGGGCTGCTGGCACAGCACTGCTGCAAAAAAAATTGCTGGAATGAGTGCAGTGCAGCTGCCACAGAAGAGAAAATAGTTGTTGGGATTATATTTTATCTTAGTAATAAGGCATCAAGGTGTGATACTACACATCCTTTATTTCCTTGAATCGGTCTTTGAGAGAAAGCTTCATTCACAGCAGCCAGAGAGTTTTGTGAACATTTATAGGCAGGGCCAGCTGAGACTAAGCTGGCATGCAGAACCGTGAAAGCACAAGCAAGGAAAGAGGTTTGTAAAAGTGGAGTCTTATAAACCTGTCAAGCTCATCCACTGGAGTCCCGCTGCCTCCCAAGCCACAGTAGCAGCCGTAGTCAGAAAATTCCAGCAGAGGACGGCTGCTCGGGATGGTGCATTTGATCATGCTGCGAAGCTCCCACACGGCCCGGGATGAGAGATCAGCGCTGGCTGCACCCACTGAGGAGAGACACAAAGGTTAGAGTTAGGTATGGTGTTACCAGCCGGGAGGACGAGTGCCACCTACACACCAGACAGCAGGAAAAGCAGGGCCAGGGACTTCATTCTCAGAGGAATTGACAGAGAGATTGGTGCTAAAGGCGCCTCTTTATACGACAAGCTCACCTTGACATGGGTATGAGATAAACAAGCCAGTATTTATGTTACTAAATGCAGACTTCTTCCATCGGAGGCTGTGGGCAGCAGATTGTGACGTGACCAGTTGAAGGCCAGTGGAGTTAAATCTATGAAAGCCAGGAAGGCAAATATTTGCTCTCTAGACTCTTGGTATTATATTATTTCAGTGCAACTACTAGAAGCCAGCCTGAAAGATCTGGTCATTTTTAAGAATGCTCTACCGAAAAATAGTAGCAGTGTAGTAGTTATGTTGGGAATTGCTGGCATATAATAACCATCCTACTAATACTGGCATCCTCTTTTTATGGTATCCAACTTGCCATTAATGCTGTATCTCTCCATTGATTGTCCTGGCCTAATTCAGAGAATAAGGTACAGCTCACCCGCTCACCCCAAATGACCATTTGGCGTGAGCTGAACTGAAAAAAATTCAAGATGTTTTTTACTTTGAAACCATAGAGAAGGAGCTACTACTAGGCAAGAAACAGGAGCCAAGCAACCTAGAAAGCCTCTGTATCTGGTTTAAGCAAGGAATAGTGTCTGTTTTCACATGGCCTTAAGGGAGTTATGCTGGAAATTAACTGGGTTTAGAAATTTCAACATACACAGCAGACTTCAGTAGCTCAGAGACAGCGGTTTCTCTTTCTTCAGCGCCAATGCAGAACCCAGTTAGGCCCTTGGGTTCTCTATGCCAAGGCATGAGGCAAGTTAGGAACCTTGAAAGAAGATTAACAAATGGGTAAGAAAAAGCTTCCTGGAGTCAGCCAAGGGTAAGTGCAAAATACTACTGTCATACTCAGATGTCCTAGACAGCTCACTTGATAGAGTCTGCATTTATTTCTAAAGCACCAAACAAGCCTTCAATCTTTAAGAGCAGAGGAAGAGGCAAACCCCATCTTTCCGCAACAGCCTAATATACCAGAGTGCTTATTCAGGAAACCACCCTTCAGTAGGTTCAAATGCATGTTTCTGTAAGGGGCGATGAGGACATCTTCCCCCTCATAGGGTCTGAAACTATGCCTGGGTGCCCACGGTATCCACAGGATGTTGGCATATCCATAGGACATCTAGTTAAAGCTAGACATGCTGTTGAATAACCAGAACCATTCCAACCTTTTTGATCTCTCACAAGCTCTCTGATTCTCTCTCTCAGGTTACCTAAAGCCAAACAAATGCTGAGTTACAGGTTCAGGACTCTCGTGCCCCAATAGAACATTGAACAAACAGTAAAGGCTGATGAAAAGGACAGTCAGTCCATACCACTGTTAGTTAAGAAAAAAATTAATCTTTTGCCCACAAATCAATCTGCTGAATTTCCCTTCAATATCCATCTAAGTGTCCTCTTTTTTTCCGTTGCTACTTTGACCACCTGTACTCTTTTTAAAATTATTTCTCTGTTCTCTTACCTATGAAACTTAAGGCTCTGTGGTTCCTTTTTCTTCACATATCAAGGTCTGATTTATTGAAGTTGCCATGAAAGCTTCCAATAAACTGGCCTTTTTAAGTCACAAACCAAAAATACTGTCATATTTTGGATTTCATATATTTTAATGCAAGAGGATCACCAAGTGTGGGAAAGCGAGCATGTGAGTGGTGCAAGAGGGCCTCATGAGAAAAATCCCAGCAGGGTAGAGATTTTTCCACCAATGCTATTTTTGGTTTCCCCCAACCTGTGCTGCATACAAAGCCGCTGGTCCTCAGTATCCTTGTGAGGACATCTCAACTTACAGGCTTGAGCCTTGAATTATTTTTAAGACTTTTCTATAATTAGACCTGTTGCACAGGGTTCCCTATTGTTTCACACTCAGAATTCACATCTCTCTTGTAGTTTTGTCTGTTGAGGACTTTTCTTCCCCTCTCCACATTTTACTTTCTTACATCTAGCCTCCTTGGTCTACCACAGTCTGAATCCAGAGCATCTGAGCCAAAACTTCTAAGCACTACACCATCTCCTCCTTTCTTGAACCTACGACTATCTATACAAAACCTCTGTGACATAGAGAAGAGACATGATCTCTATTAAAACCAGATCTGCCTCCCATGATAAACTGGGCCACTGCCAAAGTCTGGGAGCAGAACACAGAGTCAGAGCCCTGCCTGGGGCTTTTATCCTAATGGCAGGATGTGACTCCTGCCAAGCCCAAGTTCACCTGAAATCTCCATTGGAAAATCTCCCACCCCAAAACAATGACAGAGAAGGACAGTTTTCAAATAATTTATTAGGAATTTAAAACTGAAATCTGGAAAAAGGGTTACAGGTGTGGAGAGAACAAACATCGGAGTGTAATAACTTACTGGCTTAAAAACACAGCTTTATTTCTTTTAAAAAAAATGCCCACCCTGAAACCGGAGCCTCAGCCTCCAGGCAGTGGCAGCACTGGCCAGAGAGTGAATCACAGCCCAGCAGCAGCACAGCTGGCCTTGGGTGTCTGGAGGGGGCACGGAAGCAGTTCAGCGCATATACCAAGAGGGAGGAAAGCGCTGTCCGCAGACCCAAATTTGAAGTATATAGAATAAAAATAAACCCAATAAAATGCAGCTCTTCTTTAATTAGGAAATATTTAAAAAAACAGACATACAGACTCTTGTCTCAGTAACAAAAATTATTGCTTTGTGTTTTCAGTACTGATCCGTTAAGTACCCTCTTACCTAAACAGAACTCTCCAAACGCATCGCCTGGGTCAGGACAAGCTCCAGCAGACGGGGGAGGGATGGAAGAGAAAAAGGGCCCCGTGGCCTTCCCAGTCCTTTACTAAATGCCCCTCTCCCTTACAGGGGCTCAGTTTGGGGGAAGAGAGGGAATGATTTTTAAAACTTAAGATGAAGCTGTTATTTCCCTGGGAAAAGAGTTTGGCTGCATCTTAATAAAAGGCTTAATCACCCCCCTTAACAAGGTCTTTGGTTCACTGAAATCCAGACCCAAACCTGCCCCGTGTTCTCCTGCTGGAGGCTCTCCCTGGCAGAGCGCTTGTTAGCAGGGGCCTGGACCACGCCAGGGGAAGCCCCGGCAGGTTCTGGAGAAGGGACCAGATCACCCCCACACAGGACAACGGACAAATTCCCACAGTCTTCAGAAAACAGAGTAAAGCAAACGGGAAGCTGCAACTCTATAATTCATATAATCCCTGAGAAGCCCTTAACCCGCCCCCAAATCACCACCCTAATGCTTTTCTCCCCCGTAATGACTCCCCAACCCAGCGCCCTGCCCTTCAGAGAATGAGCACCCGAATCTCCCCCTGGCCCTGGGCGACACCCCTTCCCATACCCTCGCCTCCCGAGGAGGGTCCCCTTTCCCCGGAAATCTTGACGCAAGCGATAGTGTTTGGAGAGTGAATGCCTTTCAAAGTAACCAAGACAAGCAATGGCGGTAAAGCCCTTTACCTAAAGCCAAACCAGAGGCTGGCACTACGGAGCCCAGTGTTGGAGTCTGTACATCGAGCAATTGGAAGCAGCTTTAACCCGCTCAGCAAAACAGCCGATGGCCGGTACGTTTCACCCCCGCCCCCCGCCCACCCCCCCCCCCTTTCATCTCATCAGAGGTCTTAAAATCTTACAGTAAAAGGTGTACAAAAAAAGAACGGAGTCCTGTCAGGATTCTGCTGGAGAGTATTGCTCACGCTGCGGCACCAAGTCCAGGACCTGGAGCTGCTCCTTGGAGCCAGGCTGCAGGCAGCAGCCAGGTTCAGCTCGCGATATTTACATATTATACAGGAGGAAAAAGAAAACCCCACGTAAAACTAAACCTAGGAAAAAAAAAATTCTCTTAGCTGTAAGGATAGTGTTTTTCACTTAGCAAAATATACATTTGTTTTGTTCCATAGCGATGTCCAACGTTTTCGGATCCTTGGAGTTTCACACTTTTCAAAGCCTCACATTTACAAAACAGAAACAATTAAAAACAGTTTCTTTAAAAAAAATAGAAATACATCAGTTCCTCTCAGCCTTTGCTCTCTCTGTGTCTCTTTCTTCCCTTCAGAACTGCATTCTTGTTACATACCGTGCTTTAAAAACACTGACGACAACAACAACAGAGTTGAAAATATTCAAAACAGTTTCAAAGCCAAATAAAAATACTCCTCAATAAAAACTACCTAACACAATCACAAAGCCAATTCATAAAATATGTCTACTAGCTCGGGAAAGAGCAAACAACAAAAAGAAGGGGTAGCCCCAAAAAAAGATAAAAAAATAAAATAAAAAAATAAAACTAACAGCTAATAAAATAAATAAAAGAAGAATCGGTGGGCTGGGGGCAGGGAGGGGGGAAGCGTAAACCGTCGGTGGTTAGTAAGAAAGCGAGATGATCTCCTCGGGTTCAGTCCAGTGTGGTCTGGTCAAAGGGAGAGATCAGGGCAGGGTGGCAGGAGCCTGGCAGCCAGCCGGCAGTGTGCAGTTTGATTCAAGAAAAAGGTAACCTTGGCTCATCCCCCGAGGCTCACCAGATCCTCCAGCCGCTGTCCTCGGTTAGGTCACTGGGGAATCTGCGGGACACAGCAGGGGAGGGAAGGGACAGGATCTAGAACAACCAACAGCTTTTCTCTTGGGGTTTTCTTTCGGTGTGATCTGACAGAAATACTCGACACCCAAACTTGCCCCAGCACAGACTCGCTCTGCATCTCACTGGCGCAGTGACGGGGAATAGCAGAGATGCTTCTACCTTTGAAGGCAACGTGCAGGCCTGGGAAGCAAGGCCCCACACGCTGCGCAGCCTGCCCGCCCCCGGGAGCCCTCTGACATAGCAGGGTCCAGCCATTTCTCCAGCACTTGCCTCAGCCCTGCCAGGCTGCCCTGAGCTCCTGTCTGGACACGGTTCCCTGCAAGCTTTTGCCCTCCTTTTTTGAAAAGCTGGCTTTTTTTTTTTTTTTAATTTTAAGCCAGCTAACTTCAGCTATGTTTGCAAAGCAAGCAGAGACCATCCACCAGTTCCCTCCCATCTGAGGACCAGAAACAGAACTGATCAGACTCAGATTTTTCCTTCTGCCCTCTTCCCAGGTAGGGGAGGCAAAACCTCACTCCCAGAAACAGTGGTCTCAGTAGCAGTGAGAGCAACTAGCTGCATGGAGGAGGCTTCCCCAACCATGCAGGTGAGCCAAGCTTGTCTCTCAGGATCACCACTGGATTGTGATTCTGGCCAACCTTGCAGATCTTTCCTCTTTCCATCAGTGCTCTCATTTCCTTCCTCTCTGTGCCCAGACACTAAGTGACCTCTCCACATCGCTCCCAGCCTGGGGAGCGTAAGGTAGGAACCCAACCTGCCAAGCCTCTAGTACAGAAGAGAGCCCCAGGCTGGCGTCACAGCGGCATCCACAGCTCCTGCCAAGCGCAGGGTTCAGCGCCTCTCATCACCCGTTCCTGTTTGAAGCTTTCTTACCTCCTGCCTCCTTGGTCCCCAGCTTCAGTGATACCCATTGGTAAAAGCTGTTGCAATCAAGGGACCCTGTGAAGAAAGAATCAAAACCCCACTCTTAAACAAAACAAAAGCAAAGCAGAATTACTACCACCACAAATTCAGTCATTGCCCAGATGTCAGGAAAGCCGGTTTCAGTCGGAGGTGCCAGGTCTAAAGAGCACATCACCCTGCAGGACACTGCATCAGGGCCAAGATGGGCTCTTGGAAAGTCTGGAGACTGGGATCTTGAGTGGTGGTCAGGGAGAGCCAGCAAAGGCCAGGGATGTGGGCTCCAAGTGAACTGCTGCATTCCGCACTGGCCACTTGGGCTCAGCGGTGGCATGGCAAATGCTGTGG